AAAAAGGAGGCGAGAAGGAGGATGGAGGGGCGAGGTCCACGGAGCGACGCATCTCCGGTGAACTGGACCTAGCTCCGGTGAGCGATTACCGGCGACTCAATGCTTACCACGGTGATAAGGTGCTAGCACGGGATGCACGAGGTTAAGGAGGAGCTCAGGGCTAGATGGGGCGGTCGACGGCGAGCTAGAGCGGCCGGAACGGCCAACTCCGGTGAGGCGCTGGTGCGGGCGGTGGCGGAGGCGAGCGCGCGCGCTGTTGATGCTGCTGTTCGAGTGAGAAGTCAAATGAGATGGAGGAGGGGGAGGCAGACGCGGCGCGGCGGGTGTAGGCACGATAGAAGGGTGCGGGGGCCACCGGTGTCCATGCGGTGAGCGACGACGACGGCGTACGGACACGCGGCCGCCGAGCTCTGCGGCCGGTCGGGCGCGGCGCGACGCGCGGGAGTGGACGGCGGGCGCGGAGGCAGGCCGGGCCGGCCTGTGCTGCTGGGCCGAAAAGGAGGAGGCGGCCCAGTAAGAAAATAAAAATGATTTTCTTTTTATTTCTTAAATAAACAGAACTAAAATTCCATTTTTTAGCCATTTAAAAGCATTTTTGCAAGTCGGTGTAAAAATGAAAGTTGTTCTATTTTTCAAGTTACAACTTTGCTTTTATGACCAAAGTCAAATTCCAAATAGATTTTGAATTACAAAATAAAAATCAATATTAATTCAAAACCCTAATTTTGAAGAATTATTTTTAAAAGCAAAATTTGGCAAAACTTTGAATATAAACTTTGCTCCAAATTGCATCTTAGCTACTTCTAATTGGTCTAAGTGATCAACCAAGGTACACACATGGCAAAACAAACATAGCATGGCATTTCACATTATTTCAAACATAATGAATTTCAGTCAATTTAAGTACCACATGAAATGATACTTCACTTCTTTCGAATGAGATGCACGAATGATGCTTATGCATGAGGTGATGATGATTATGCTCATGGGATGAAATGTTAATGCATGCTTAACACCGAGGTGTTACAGAAGTACTCAAACTTCTTCTTGTCTCTAATTAGAGTCACTACGGTCTCATTTCTAGGTGAATAAGCTTTCAATATAATCTCGACTACCTTATGATCATCTAGCTCATCACCACCATAGCCTCTAATCTTGCCCACCATTATCATCAACCTATCAAACATCTCTTATGGCCCTTCTCCATCCAAGATACAAACCGGTTGAGTTTGGTCATCAATAAATCAATTCTTGTCTTTCTCACTTTGTCAACTCCTTCATGTACAAGGTACAAAATGTCCCATATTTGCTTTGTAACATCAACTCCAGTCACTCTATTGTACTCATCACTGTCCAAAACACCAAGCAACACACTTGTGGCTTGACCATTGAGGCGAATGATTCTCATCTCTTCTAGTGTTGGGTTCTTGGGATCAACCGGTGGTTCAAATCCATTGCACATAACCTCTCAAATGTCGGGTGAATACCTATAAGATAGGCTCTCATCAAGTGCTTCCACTTGGCAAAGTTAGTCCTATCGAAATGAGGTAACTTGCCTGTGAGCACATTGATGAAAGACATCCGATTATGGTTAGTCATAGGCATAGAAGAATAGTTAAAGGATACGGTGACATATTTGTTGTTGTCGACTTTGCCATTTTCCTTCTTCTCTTTCTTGCCCCCCTTTGACACTTGATAGGACTCATCATCATCTTCATCTTCGAAACTACTTGAGATGTCACTTGATGATGCATTGGTTGTCCTTGCTTCTTCTTCCTTGCTTCTCTTCTCTTTCTTCTTGCTTCTCTCTTGATCTTTGTTTTTTATTTTCTTTGCTTTTTATCTTCAAGCCTTTGTTGTTCCTTCTTCTTCTTCTTCTTCTCTCTGGGTTCTCTTTTTGCTTTTCTAGCTTCTTTCTTTTTCTTCTCTCTTCATCATTGAGAGCTCTTTCAGTATCGGTGGCCTCAAGATGTGGAAGCGTGGTGTTGCTTGTTGTGGACATGCTGAGCTCGCTGCTGTTAGTGTCATGCAGCTCAACACGCTCCGGATCGACGTCACCGGCTTCACGCCACTAGATCCTCCTCCGGGCTCCATACCTCACGCGGTGAAGCACACACACGAGGTAACCTGCTCTGATACCACTTGTAGGATCTCTGGTTAGCCTAGAGCGGGGGGTGAATAGGCCTGTTAAAACAAAACTTAAATTTTTATCAAATTCAACCTGCGGCACTGCCGCTCTATGCCCGCGGCACTGTCGAGCTAAAACAACGGCACTGCAGACAACTTCGAGATATAATTCAAAATCAGTGAAAGAAAACTTGAGTCCAAGAATTTACTGGAGTCCCTATAGACGTGTAGAATACAGATCAACAACGAAAAGTGGTAGGAACACCACACACAAATAGATCAACCATAACCCTATAAATCACCTCAATAACAATATGAATCACAAGAATACAAAGCAAGCACACGGTGACACAATGATTTATCCCGTGGTTCAGCTCGTCACTAAGGCTTGCCTAAATCCACGTTGTTGTGGTTAGCCACTAAAGCTTAGGGCTTTTTGACCCTTCCTCGTTATCAAGTCAAAAGAGTTAACTCTTGAGATGATGGATGAGTTTACTAGCTGCAAGAGTTGGTTATAAACCTCCCGAGGTTGCCACACAAGTTGGCAAGCTCCACGGACGACGCTCTAGCCGGCTAGGAGCCAAGCTCCAAGAGTAACAAACACAACCACTGGCCAAAACATGAACCAAGTGTTCTTTAGAGTTTGGGAATTAGTGGATCTGCTCTCTAATCGAGTTTGGCACCTTTTTCTCTCAAGGATTGATAGAAAAATCAATGAAGAAGATTGAGAGCTCAAGGTCACCAATAGAGAAGAGAGAGAATAACACTTTTTAGCCTTTTCACGAACTAAACGGTTTTGAGGAAGAAGAGAGACGTTGGAGGGGAAAGGAAAAAGTATAAATACACCATGCTCCCAAAGGTCACTTTAGTCGCGGCAGTACCGCGACTCAAGTGCGGCAGTGCCTCTCTTCAGGTGCGGCACTACCGCACCAGACAAGACAGCAAGGGTAAAGAATGAAGTGGTGGTTGTCTTGGCTGAGTAACTGAGGATGTAAGTGTTAGATTGAGTACTTGGTAGCACACTTTAGCTTAAGCAATGTGTCCCCCTTTATAGTACGACTTGTCCTTACTCAAATTCGAAATATAAAATAATTTAAACCTCCTTTGAGCTTGAAGCCGTCAACGTCTACAAGTTGGGGATCCCCTTTTCGTGTAATATCCTCAAATATTGATTCCCTATTTGTTATCTCGATAAATCTCATTAGTCCTCTAATTACGTGGTCATTATCAGCAAAATCCCTGATTAGAATTTGATTGCACTTACACCAATGTTCCTCTATCCAGCTATGTTGGATCTAGGTTGTTGTACCACAGGCTCGAGCCACGCCATGGGTTTGCTGTCGTGGCTTGTCACCGTCGCAGGAGTTGGCTCTCCTCAGGTAGGGACAGGATGCGCCAAGCCCCGTGCGTGTGCGACCTGCCGCCCTGCTGCTTGAGCGCGCTAGCCACAACGAAGATCAAGCATGCTTAGCTGGATCCACGTATTAAAACCTGTGATGACTGCTCTAGCATTAAGCACGAAGAGCGCATTCGAACGGTCGATATCGCGTGATGGTTGGATCCTACGGTTGCAGGGTAATGAGCGACGTGGCTTAATTGGGTGTTCGAGCTTAGACTCTCGATTCGATACGAAGAGATGCTAATATATATTGTCGAAAAATTCCTTGCCTTTTGTCAAGGCATGATTCATGAGAGAAGAAAAGTGCATTGCCCCTATTAAGGTCGCACGGACAAAATTCATAAAGGCCTCTGCGCGGCACCGAAACGAAATGCACATGCTCCAGCGGTGCCGCACGGCCACCCGCCAACCACTCCGTGCGTGCCTTCTTCGACTGTGACTCAAACCGTGCAGTGAATCGACCCATCCAAAGACCATCTTGATTTTTTGCGAGCGAGACATTTGGAGTTTTAGGCCCTCTCCATTCAGAAAACTTGCATATTTCACCATTTGGTACTGGTAGCTGGATTTGGCCTTAGAGTATTTGATCCAGATGATTACAAAATATAAAAACGTTTCGTGATTAAATTAGCCAGATAGCACCAAATCAGAAGGTGCTAATCCGTCTCCACTTCTCCAGACCAGTTTCTTCCATTCCGTCCCTGTCCGGCTGTTCGATGTTCCCAACAATCGCTGCGGGAGTAGGTCACCGTCAGCTGTCGAACTCACAAATCGCAAGCAGACGCCGAGACGCACTCCCTTCCTCAGCTGCTGCTGGCCTGCTGCTCCAGTGCCCCACACCCACTCCTCGCTCGAGGTCAAATGGCCCCCCGCCGCAGCCGTCCTGAAGCGGGCCCACCTCGCTGGCGTCCACTCGTTGGCCCGCCGCCGGCAGCCGGGGCCGGACCGCGTCTCGGTGCCTTCTCCGGCGATCCCGCCGCCGCGCGTTTCATGGCGTAGGTGCTCCACTCTGATCTCAAAACCTCTCCAATCTTATGCTGTTGTATCGTGTATGGATGGTGCCTGGAGTCTGTTTGGTGTACCAACTTCGGAAACTCCTCATTCGATGGTCTGAGTAGTTTCGTCTCCTTCTCTAATTGATTGATTGGTGATATCGCCGTTGACATAGCTTGGATTTTTGGGTTCAACAATCAGTATCTTATCTATCATAAGCTTCGCGGTGCCGGGATTGAAAATTCGTGGTGTGGTCTTTCTGTTTCTTCTATACAAGCAGAGCAGGGATCTGGAGTGGTTGCTAAGAGGCGCCTCTGGGCGGCGAGTGCGAGTGGTTCCTTGGAGAAAGATAACATCGGGGAGGACGCGGTGTTGCCTTCTCAGGTGCCGTTTCGATGCAATTTCTTTATGCCTTAGCTAGTGGGCTTTTGTACTCGGGATGGTCACTATCTGCTTTTTACACTTTGGATTGAAGCTACAGGTAGTGGAGGAGAGTAAAGTAGATTTCTTGAAGATTTTAAAGAGTGCCAACTCCATTATTCCCCATATAGTTCTGGGGAGCACAATTCTCGCGCTGGTGTACCCTCCTTCGTTTACATGGTTCACAACCAGGTCTGTCATGCAAGTTTTTGCTCTTTATTAGTCCAAATTCAGTTATCGATCTGTTAGCATGGAATCTACATCGTTGGATCAATGATCAGTTGAATTTATATTTCAGCTACACTTTAGCAGTATATGAAAGAGATGGTACACAGCCCTGTTCGGCTTCCTTTGGCTTTGGACACTTATCTCCCCCTGATGACAGTGTCTAAGACCATTTCGTTGGACAGTTACTTTTTCTCGAACTTACTTCTTGATTGTTCTTCCAGTCCCATAAGTAAGAAATATAGGGGAGGACGTTTTCTCAGAAGTATGCATATAATTGATACCTGAAAAGGCATTTAAAATTATGTGTTGATCCATACTAATCACCATCTTTCCGTTCTCTATATGGTAATGCTTTCTGATTAGGTCTCTGGACTATAGGAATCCTCGTGGTTTATGCTCACTGATAAACTCCGATATCCTTTCTGTAATGATTAATCATTAAGGGTCTACCTCTCACAGTCTCACTTATAAGCTGGCTTTTATTTATGTAATTAGATAGTTCCATGTTTGTGTCAGTAGCACAGTGTTCTATATTTGCACATGTTATTTACATTTCCAGGGTGTGTGTTATTATTGCAGGTATTATGCACCAGCTTTGGGGTTCTTGATGTTTGCTGTTGGTGTAAACTCAACCGTCAAGGATTTTATTGAAGCAATAAAAAGGCCAGACGCTATTGCTGTGGGCTATATCGGACAGTTTGTCATCAAGCCTTTGTTGGGATTCCTTTTTGGCACTCTTGCGGTTGCAGTTCTTAATCTCCCAACTGCTCTAGGTAAGAAATTGATTCATTTTTATATGCTTTAGAAGGAGCATTGCAGAATATGTGGTGAACTCTGCCGTGAACTTGTCTGTAGGCGCTGGTATCATGTTGGTTTCATGCGTGAGCGGAGCACAGCTTTCAAACTATGCAACTTTCCTGACGGATCCACATATGGCTCCTCTCAGCATTGTTATGACATCATTGTCAACAGCTACTGCAGTTTTTGTCACCCCAACATTATCTTACTTTCTTATTGGCCAGAAATTACCTGTAGATGTCAAAGGGATGATGTCAAGCATCGCTCAAATAGTTGTTGCTCCAATTGCTGCTGGATTGCTTCTGAATAGGTTTTGCTTTCATTGCTTTGAACTGAAGTACAGGAGACAGCTGTGCTAGATTGGATAGTTCCCTTACTATATTTCTGATCTTTGGCTCCCACTTTGAGTTACTTCTGTTTTCAGGTCTAAATTCATGTTTCTTTATATTACGCAGATTCCTTCCAAGGCTCTGTGCAGCTATTCAGCCATTTCTCCCTCCGTTGTCGGTGTTTGTCACTGCTCTGTGTGTTGGCTCACCATTGGCAATAAATATCAAGGCTGTTTTGTCGCCATTTGGATTAGCCATAGTGCTGCTCCTTTTTGCATTCCACACCTCATCTTTTGTAGCTGGTTATCATCTTGCTGGTACTTGGTTTCACAAGTCAGACGATGTAAAGGCACTACAAAGGACAATATCTTTTGAGACAGGTGATGTGCTCTCCTATTACATGAGGATATGTTCTTTCTAATTTGTTTTGTTGTCTCACCTGTATCTCTTGATGCAGGAATGCAAAGTAGCCTCCTTGCTCTTGCTTTAGCAAACAAGTTCTTCCCAGATCCACTAGTGGGTGTGCCTCCAGCCGTATCGGTATGTGAACTTTTACCCATCCACTAGCCTCTTGCAGATTTATCTCTTACAAATGAAACTTTCCTGTCAATCTGACATTAATCTTGGGGACAGCTATGGATAGGTCAATACATGGTTCCATGGTATTAACATCTTTTCAGCAGATAAAAAACTTATTACTTTGACCTGATTCACGTGAAACTTCGCCTCTGGGCTTAGAAATCAACACAAACTATGTAACTATATTCCAAGAGTAACATTACTTCAGTTCAGCACAATTTAAACTCTGCAAAAGAGGGGTCAATTCTGTTTTGTCTGCGGAGAGACTAATGAGGATCTTACCATTGTTAACTTGATTCATTTCTGCAGGTTGTGTTGATGTCCTTAATGGGATTTGCTCTTGTCATGGTATGGTCCAAGAAAACAGAAGCCTAATAACCCAGTTCAAATCGAAGCAACTCATCTTTGTTTCTGACATCGCCATAACCCGTGATGAAATTTAGTCAGGCTAACTGATCCCCATGGATAGCAATCTAGGAAGGTTCATCATTGGTCAGGATTGCTGCCAAATGCTCATCGTGGCATACAATCTGTCTCGCACTATTTATCTCTGGTCTTGGTTGTGTCGAACTAAGATTTCTAGTGGCCTGAAATTTCTTTTGAGGAATCTAGTGGCCTGAATTCTTGGATGATAGCGAAACCCCATGTGAAAGAACCTCGTTAGGGCTTGTTTGACTGCACTCCTACCTCAATCCAAGTGTGTTGAAGAGAATTGGAGTGACCTAATTGACTCCAACACACATCAGATTGAGGTGAATACAAGTACAACCAAACAAAGCCTTAATGATTTGTTGAGATGTTGAGATAGATGTGTTGATATTCTTTGGATCGACTAGAGTAGATCTAGGCGGATGAACACTTGGATCCTTAAAGCACATTCACATCTAGACCTAGAACACTACACCGAAAGGGAGATAGGGTAGAGGTGTTGGTGTTGAACCTGAGCCTTCGGAGGAAGTCGCGGTTGAGCTGGCCATCGCTGGTTCGTTGATGGAGGCAGCACACGGGCAGCGACGGCTGGAGTAGAGGTTGCACGGACGTCGATGCAGTGCAGACGGACGGCGTGGCAGTGACGACGGTGAAGGTCAGCGGAGCTTCCCGTCGCTGGCTGCGCGCCCTCTTAGATCGGTCTAGGGTTTGTCGGTGGGGTTTGCGGCTCACGGCGAACCTCGTACCTTGAGCCGCCGGCCCCCACCCTCTTTATATAGCGCAGTGCGACGGGGGCCCACCAACCATGTAGGTTTGGGCGCCCCCGATCAGGGCGCGTGACCAAGGCCCAATAGACCGTTGGACTTATTGGTTAGGAGATCAATCTAACAAGATGCATGAAGGGCCTCGTCTCCCGTGGATTGAGAAGAAAGGAAACAAATGGCCTTCCTCTGATTCTTTGGTGTTTGACTGGTTTTTCTGAATCAATTGAGCCCTGCTGTTTCTGCTCTTATTTATCTAGACTAGATAGAATTTTCATGGTTCAAATTTGAAACTCATGTACGTTCCTTCTTTCCATCCGAGTGAGCTTGCAAGTAGTTTTTCTTTCACTAAATTATCTTCCAAATTTACTTTTTTTTTTAATCATGCCGGCATGCCGACCCAAGAGCTGATTTTTTTTTAGATAATGGACCCCAAGAGTTGATGGAGTTCAATTTCTGGCCCCTTGTCATAGGGTAGATTGTCTCCAACTGCTGTTCATCGAACCATATCAGTTCTCGCATGATTCGTCAGAATTTCTCGTATTCGGCTGCATCCCGATGACAGCGTTACAGGAATACGAGTGACCTACACATACGGTTGCAGTTATACACATGTCCAGTTGAGTATCTCCATCGGTGATCCTTAAATCAGGACCTCTATTGGGATTTGAGGACCTCCCTTTCTTTTTCGATTTGTGACCTTAAATTTATGGGACCTATTTGTCAGCGGAATAAATTTGGGCCCTTACATTCGTGGGGCACTGCTAAACCTGTAGTATTTTTTTTTTTGGTATAAGCCCTCAAATCTATGTTCAGATTTTTTTGTACATATAGACATACGGATACATGCGTCTAATAGTATAATCCTCAACGACTTGCCGGATACCGGGTTCGGGTTAACGCCAACCTCACGCAGTCCCGCCGCGTCCAATGGCGTCCCTCCGGCTCGTGGCAACGCTAGCGCCCTCCAGTCCTCCTCCGCCACCTCGACGTCAGCTGCGGAGGCCGCCCTCCGCAGTCCGGCGCTCGCCGCGCTGTCCGAGCCGGCGAACGCCCTCTCGCTGCCCACCTGGGCCGTCCACGTCTCCAGCGTCGCCGAGTGGTACCGCTTCTATCTGCTACGGGCTAGCGATTGCTTCCGCGCCTGTAAGCTCTGAGAGCCTGAGACGGTGGTAGGAGAAGAAACAGTTACAAGGTTGATTGGCTTTACCTTCTGAAATATGATTGAAAACCAAGTTGAAGAAATACAGAGTTGCACTCTCCTGTACATGCCTGTGAAAATCACCCTAAATTCGGTTACAGCCTTAGATAAGCAGAATCCATTCACTCGATACAAAGAGATGCCACTCAGTACGCTACAGTTTCGAGCACTGAAGTTAGTACCATGATACCATCTCCACCACTGCAAACACTGTCCCCGCAAGCTCATCCGTTCATGGCCATCAAACCAATCCTGCCAAAAAGGCATCAAAGTACCTGCTCTCCATCTCGAGGTGCCACTGGCATGTGGCCTCATGATGCTAAACCCTGAACCCAACATGAACGTCGCTGTTGCCGGACGAGGATCGCACGTGTAATGTATGTATGCATATGCATGTATGTGTTCACGGATCATGGCGCATCTACCTAATGTGATCCATGATTCACACGCGCATTGGTGACCCAGGTTCACGCGGGGGCCAGTGTCAGTGGCGAAAGCTGCAGCAACGATGGATGGTGCTTCTGTGTTCAGTGTTCTGTCAATGTGTGCAGGGAGGTCAAGCGTCGGAATGAAACCTCCACTCGGCCAAGATATGGATCAAATGAGTGGACGCAGGACCGGGACCGGGGGTGGGGGCACACGCGTCGAGCATCGGTGAGCGTCTGGGACGGCATCGGACGGTGCAGATCCAGAGCACAGGTGCTGCTGATCTTGAGGTGTCAAACGCAAATTCTTGCGCACCTCTTCCTTGGCTACCTTGTGTGTAATGAGTGCAACTTTTGGCCAAAGCTGGGGGCAGTGGCCCAAAGTGTCTTCCCTGCTCCAAGTTTTTTCTCGAGAGATTCTCGCTTACATGATGGTCCGTGACGCAGTAAACGGGGGCTGAATTGCTGCTGCTTGGTGACTGGTTTCTGGGTGAGAATGGCGTGGAATGAAGGGCATCTCTCATGGAAACTTTGGCCTCCCAAGTTGCCAGAAACTGTGGTGACCGACAGATCATTTTCAGGCCTGCTATAGAAATCAAATGGGAATTCCTTCACAGTAGACTCTGTTGGAACAGAACAGTGCAGCGAGAGTTCTGAATGCAGACGGCAACTCGCATGTTTGCAGAGGGGAGGAGGTAAAAAGGCGCTGAGGCATCATTCTGGCGAAGAAACCGCACGAGCAAAAAGGATGAGATGCTCGAAAGCGAATTTGACCTCCCCGTGCCTTGCTCGCTCTTGCACCATCGAGTACCAAGAAAACTCTTACGCCATGTTCCCTGGTTGGTTTTTAGGCTAATAAGCTCGACTGGTGCTGGTTCGTTGTGAGAGGAAAATACTGTTGACTGACTGATAAGTCCTGGCTGAAACCAACAAGCGAACTTCATCATGCAATGCAAGCACCCGGGCCAAGAAATCAATAATGCAAGCATAGCCATTTTGCTTGCTTTGACGTGCATATTTACCAAAACAAAAAAAAAAGGAGAAGTTACAGAGAGAGCACAATTATTCAGCCAATTCATTTTCAAATCTGGGAGCTTCCTGCAGAACCCAAATGATTCCCTTTATTTGTAGTCTTCTCCTCCCCATCCTACTACTGTCAAAAAGATCGTGCTGTATCGTCGACGTCGATCCATACTTTCTCATCGATCTCTCCACGCTCCTCTCCTCCTTTTTCCGATGGAAATATGCTGCTAAATGATTAGCTTCCGGAAGATCCATTGGCCCATGCCATGCCATGCCATAGTCCATGCTCCATGATGAGGAGGAGGAGCTAGCTGCCTGCCTCCGTCTCTCTCGGCTCACGTGCGTCGTCGCGGCTTATAAACCGCAGTCAATGAACAATATTTTTTTCTCACAACAAATTAGTTAATCGTACTTTCAGCCATGACTTATCAGCCAAACGAACGGAGCGATGCACCACCAAACAAAAACCTAAAGCTACCACCAAAGCCCCGAGAGGAGGCGAGGCGAGATGAGATAAGATCTATCTTTATATATAGCCTTAAAGCCCTTAAAACACACTTCATCTCGAAGTCACTGAGCTCCAAAGAATCTAGCTAGCAGCAGGCCTACGCCATCCACAGCAACATGTGCTCCGGCTCCTGGTCCTGGAGCAGCAGCAGCAAGAAGCACCCGTCTCTTGTTGTCGTCAACCTCAAGCGACAGCTGCAGAAGACGCCGCCGCCTCATGTCTCGATTGCCATCAGGAGAAAGAGGTAACTAATTAACGTGCTCTGTTCAAGTTTCTCAAGCTTCCTCTGCTCAAGCAGCAGCAGCAGCAGCGACAGTTTCCTGCAATCACACCACACGTACGCAGGTTGAGGCTGAGGAGGTTGAGAGACGGAGCAGAGGCCATGGAGATACTGAACCTGAAGCTCTACCTGGAGAACCGATGCATCATCGCCGAGAATGAGAGGCTCCGGGAGAGGGCCAGCGCACTTCGCCGCGAGAACCTCGCGCTGCTCCAGAACCTGTCCAAGACGGCGGCCGTGCCAGAGGCAGGAGCGGGAGCTGCGTGAGATTGCTTCCTCTGCCTGCCTGCTGAAGATGAAGTAGCTAGCTTGCGTCCCCTTGTTGGTGCATGTGCTAGTTGTGTAGACAGGACAGTGGACTAGTTACCATCCATCTGCTTGGCTGCTCCGCCATGTCTGTGCTCATAAATCGCCAGGTTCCTGGAGCTCTCTTGGGTGCTCTGTGCCATGGTGTTTGTACATTATAAGTGCGCGGATTAACTAGATTTTGTTGGCAACTACTAACTCTTTTGGTGAAATGGGCAAGGAAATGAAAGCAGCTTTGATCATAACTCCCTTTTGCTACAAAACAGAAAGAGGCAATGCAAGGGTGATTTACTAAGCTTGATCAACTCTTTCAAATCAAAGAGTTAGATCAGGAATGAATCTTTCTTGCCTTTTCTCTCTGCTGAAAAGCTATATAGACTTCAGCATATCTAGGCATGATGAGGACCACAACCCCTGGATGCTTTCACCTATCTGCCCTTTTTCTTTGACAAAAGGCTAAGCAATGCAAGATCCATTGATACGTGCTTTTGTTTTGAAGTATTTGTGACAATATATATGCACAAGCACACAAGTGTATCCAAAGCCTGCACCAAACTTTCCCAGAGCCAGAGCCTACAAACCAACAGCAGATACCAGCCTCATTGGGTAGATTCTCTGCAACGCTGCGCTGGACAACAAGATCAATAGCAGGTTATGCTAAAACATAAACATCAACTACGACGAATCCATCTGAACTTCTAATAGAATGATTAATGAATAAGAATATAAGCTGCAGGATTTCACGCATCCGCATCTACAGAATATGTTGTACCCCACAAATTGGCCCCTTTAATTCGCAACACAAATGTGCCTAAAAATGATTTCAATAATTCTAGCAGAAAATTACAGAGACTAAAAGTTTGTACAACACAGAATCCACCCAGGCATTACCAACATCCAACCAATGAAACCAAATAACTTTGCAAGAAACCACAAAAGACGGAATATCCAACTGCGGTTGTTCTAAAACCTAAGAAAAACGAATATCCGGGAACACAAGGTATCCCTTCATGAATCTGCAGTATGAATGACCTTCAAGCATGTGCATGCCCTCTGTGAAATCTCCTTAATGGTTCCACTGCTTCTGCTGAGCTTTGAACTGCTCTGATTCCTGTTGCTGCTGCTGAGCCTGCTGGGCCTCTGATGGCTGCTTCTGCTGTAGCTGCAGCAGCTGCTGTTCGAGAATCTGGCGGTTCATATGATGATGTGAACCGTTCGGCACATGAGGATCACTGGCCTCACCAGCAATTTGTTTCAGGCGCTGGACTTCAGCAGTCAGTGCTTCATTCAGAGCTGGATACAGAACAATGTACCAATGATAAAATCAGTAGTTGAATAGGCCAAAGAAACAAGATTGCAATGTAAATACCATAGAAAAAATAAGGTCCATTGTTTTTTCGAATACACAGGAGATCTACGTATCATTGCATTAGTAGAAGAATATAGTCATACAGCACCCACACACCCCAGTGTTATGAAACTACATATGCGCCTGTTAGTTGAAAAACAAAAACAACCCAACCTGTGGCAAAATAAGGTCCCTGTAGACTCACAAAAAAAAATAAATAATAATGGCCATGAAGCCTGATAAAAAGCAGTGAGATTCTAACACATGGATTATGAAAACAGGTAAAACTAAAGTTTGCAGCACAAAACAGTAATATTGTAATTATTTTGTTAGAACATGGTACTATTCATTCAATTATTTAAATTAATAAAGCATACATAAAAACTTATAATAGATCAATGGAAATTCCCTTGCCATGTCAAAGCAACTCCAAGCGACTCTCTATATCCTTCCTAATTATTAGGAATAGATATTTTGATGAAAAAATATCCTCCAGCTAATTCTTTAATTGGTTGTTCTTGGTTGTTCTTCCAAACGCTGAGACAAGTTTGTAAATGTTTCTTTCCAACTCTACAATGAAAAGGCAGAGCACCTGCTGTTCCCCGCTCAATTCTTTAATTGGATATCCAACAACTCTCTAAATGTTGATTTAAAGAGGGAGTTTAAGAAAGACTCTCGGGAATGCTCTCATTGAACTATACAATCAATTAGAGAACGGTGAGGTCAAGCAATAGCATGGAATGCCAGGTCTAAGTTGAAGACACTGGGAAATAAGGGCACTAAATAAGCTGAACATATGCCAAGTTGGCAATGCTGTTTCGGCATTGAAAAATTAAAAGAAATGCATTCAGAGTTATTCCAGTCTGCTCATAACACTAGGTTTAGGTTTACTCTATAACAATTTTCTTTTTGTTCGTATTCTCTACATTCCTCTTCTATGGACTCCCTACTCGCTATTATACATCTCACCCTCACCCCCTTCTCTGTGCACTTCAGAATGTAGAAATTGTCATAGATTTGGATGGATGCGAACAAACTTCATAGCCCAAGCCATGAATAAAAATAGAAAATACTTCCTCAATACTGATGCAAATGGTACATCTTTTTGAAAAAAGAAGAAGCTTACTGTAACCCAGTGATGAACATATTTACCTTCTTCTGAAGGATATAAAATATGTTTCAGGGAAACTGTAGAAGATTAGAAATCATATGAGTTGGGGAACTTATCATTTACAAATCATCATTTTTTTAGAAAAATGTATGCATCTAATGATCAACCAATAATCACTGTAATTTACATTTGACATGTAGAGAGAACGCACATATAAGCCCTTGTTTAGTTTCCACCCTAAAACTTTACACCCTATCACATCGAATGTTTGGACACATGCATGGAGTATTAAATATAGACTAAAAAATAACTAATTGCACAGTTTATGACTAATTTGCTGATTTAATCTTTTAAGCCTAATTAGTCCATAATTTGACAATAAAGTGCTACAGTAATGCATGTGCTAATGATGGATTAATTAGGCTTGATAAATTCATCTCGCGGTTTACTGACGGATTCTGTAATTTATTTTTTATTAGTATTCGTACACCTCATGCGACACCCCATGTAACATCCGATGTGACATCTCAAAACTTTACACGCTGGATCTAAACAAGACCTAAATCTAGGAAAACGTAAACTCCTGTTTCTTGAGTTTTTTAATAAGCAAAGTTACACATGCAAGTCCAAAATAAAAGAACGTACTGCTCAGTGGAAAGCGAGATACTTGAGAGCTGTGTAGGTATTGCGTTAAGAGAAAACACAAGCCAACATACTTACAACCCAAAGAAAAAAACAAGCTTTACAAGAAGACAGTATAGATCAGTCACCGATGGAACAGAAAAATGCTGATTGCAGAAAGGAGGTACAACAGTGAATGCTTTTTTTTTTTTTTGGGTTGGGGGGGTGGGGCATAAACATACCATTTTTCAGCTGTGCTTGCTGCTCCATTGCTTGCAGCCTGATCTTCATCTCATTGTTCATAGTTTTAAGTGCCTCACATTCCCTCTGCAAATAGATATTAAGCCAGTAAAGCAGTGCCAAAACTTGGGCCAAGAACAAAATGATCACCACATTCAGAATCTCAGAGAACAAACCTGCGACGATGCTGCTTTCGAAGATAATGTACTAGTTTCCATCTGCAGCACACGAACCTTACGCTCAAGCGCACCCATGTACTTCACCTTGCGCTCCTTAGACTTTGCTGCCGAGATCCGATTAGCTAGAATCCTGCGAATTTTACCAGAAAAATACTGGATTTCAGCAAACCAAACCACTATATGGAGGCTGGATCCTCTCATATGAACTCCAGAAATAAAATTTGAACCTCTTGACCCTCTTAGGATCAGCAAGTGCGATCTCAGCGAGGCGATCATTGGCCATGATCTTCTTCATCTCAGACTCGGTGAACTCTCCGTTGATAAGTTCATAAGAAGCAGTCGCAACCGCACCGCCCGATGCTCCGGTTCCAGTGCGCGAGAGGCTGCCACCGGCGACTGCCACCGGAGACGGAGGCGGCAGTCTCAGAGAAACCTGGCCCGGGCCTCCAAAGTTGAGATTGCTCATGATGCTGTCCACAGACAGGCTGCGGCAATGGCGAGGATGGTTAGCGTTGCTGCTGTCTGCGTTGCCATTGCCACTAGCCGCCCAGCTCTCAGCCTCAGTCTCGCTGCTATCAGCGGGGCTCCAAACGCGTTGTTGGCTGCTGCTTAGGTGATCGTTCCTTTCGTTTTTGCTATCCCCGGACCCGGAGGAGCCGAGGTTCGGATCCCTGTACGAGCGGAATAGCTCCTCGAGTACGGAGGCATCCCTCGACCTGTACTCCCCAGCCGCAGGAGTCATCGGAACCGGCAGCTGGTTCGGGCGCGAGAACCCGACGAGGAAATCGCTACGGGACCTCCGGTGCCCCGCCCCACGCGGCGGCAGGCCGTACGCGGACGGCACCTGCTGCTCGGAGCCGCCGGGCGACGGCGGGGAACGCGGGACCGCCGCCCCCGCCGCTGGACCGGTGGAGTACGGGAGCGGAGCTAGAGAGTCCACGGAGAAGAGCGGCGGCTTCGGGAGAGACCGAGCAAGATGCGATCCGGCGCCGCCGCGGGCGCGAGCGTCGTCGGCAGGCTCTGGTAGTTGCTGAAGGCCGAGAAGCCGGAGCTGGATGCCAGGCGGGGCGCCATCGGTGGGAGGAAAACCGACGGCGCAAAGCGGCGTTGGTACTGGGAGGCGAGGTCCATGGGGATCTGGGGCTGTGTCTGTGGCGGGGTTTGGGGCTGACCGCTCGTCGGCGAGAGGAGGCGGCCGCGGCGAGCGGGATCGGCGCTCCGGTCCTCGTCCATGGTGGTGGAGAGATGGGTGAAGGATGGGATTGAGCCGGAGCTAGGGTTTAGGAGGAGCACGTCACGAGGGGGAAGGTGGGACTCGAGAATATACCGGCGGCGAGGTTTTGTGACGGCGAGAGCGAATGCGAACGCGAAGGCAGGCAGCGAGCAAAACGTGAGGGCGGGGGACGGTGCGGTGCGCGCAAAAGGAAAGGCGCGTCGACGAGAACGGAAAGTTTGCTGTTTGCCTTTGGCTTTTCGCACACTTGGGCTTTGGTGGGCTTTCCTTTCGAGCGCTTTCCGTGGCTGGGCGGCCGAAAGAGAGACATGGGCTTCGCGATCACATGAACTCCATGGTAACTGAATGCGCGTGGGCTTGAGCCTATAGGTGAAGCCCAAAAATGAGGCAGGCCTGCAGAAGCCTATTCAGCTCGTTGGCACTATACACACGTTTACATACTCGTTCATCTTCGTCATATACTAATGGCCACTTTTTTTTTCTCCAAAATTTGCACATCATTATATTAAGATAGAATAGTTTAAGTAAACAAACGACACGCCTCATACGAGCGCCCTAGGAGGTCGACTAATGGCCACTTGATGTATAATATAATCCCATTTCCATATGGACTTTTGGAGTATACTGATAAATCATAGAAAATACAGAAATGGGTCAATTGGATGAAGATGCAGTTGCACGCTTAGAAGTTGTTCTTTGTTAGATTTTGTTCCTGTTGGTTCCTTCCAGTAGCTTGTGCTAGTGGAAGCTTAAAACTGGGTGTGTCTAGTTTCGTTACTGGTTGGTCGTGGTGTAAGCTGATAACCCCGGCGTTATCTGTTCTTTTCTTTTCAGATTGTGTCTGTTACTTGTACTTTGTGGCTTTATAAAAGCAGGGTTTTTCTCCGTAAAAAAAAAAGGATCAAGGCTCGGTGCAAGTTAGGAGTGCGGTAAAAAAAAAGGCTCGGTGTATGAGAATGAACCAATGAATGCACCTTTTTTGAGGACCTAAGTGACTAGATGACATATGAGGATCCTGAACCCAGCAAGGCCTCAAATGCATAATTTATCACTTGAAAGATGTAGATCGTTTTGAGATGATTGGTTTCGACTCAAAAATCACCACCCCATTTGGATTATGAATGGAGGAGATATATAAGGCTTCTGCAAGATTTAACGTGTGGTCGGCTTCCACCTCCCTAATGTATGCATTATTATGGATCCATAAACGTAGGTAGCATTGTCAGAAGAGGGAAAAAATCAAGTGGAGACCAAAGGGTTGACCTTAATGCCTTGTTCGGTTAATCCCCTTCCAATCAGACCTTGTTTGGTTAATCCTCTTCTCAAGTGGATTGAAGGGAAACGATAGGGATTTTAACTTGTAGGGGATTTAATCCTCTTCAAGCCCTTTCAATCCCCTCCAATCCCTACTACACCCAACAAAGCCCAAGTTAGAGAGCATTGTCACATATGCAGTGGTTTAGTGAAGACGAAGGATAATAATGGGGAAAATGGTTGGATCCACCTCCCCGAGCCAATTGGTTCATGATGTTTGTTTCTTTGCCCTAGGTGCGTGTGCGTCATCTTCCACCAGCAGGTTATAGAGGTATAAACCATATGTAGGGGATGTTTAGATTTCGACCGCACGCTAGTGGCATGGAAAATCACTGCCACAACTGTGACGAGAAAACACGCTGAAATGAACTGAAACATTTGTGGTGTGGCTAACATTAAATACCAACCAAACTCCATGGTCACTAAAGCTGAGGTGTGGCGAGTTAAGGGCATGTACAACCCACAGACGGAAGGTCGTCTCTAAGAGACTGATATCTGACGTATAGATGAGTAAAAAGACAGATCATACAACTCAGAGACGAGGGGTCGTCTGCAAGCATTTTAATGCTTCGCATGTTGCCAAGATCAATGATGAATATCAATTTGTATACCATTGTGTTGCCGTTTGATAAAAAATGATTCAAGCATGAATATCAACTTGCGGAATAAACAAACATGCGGATAAGCTAGGCAAAGCGACCATGAGACGACGATTTAGCAATACATGGATGCGCTGGGGCGACGAGGACCGCCCATGGCGCAGCCTCTCCTCCCTCGGCCGCCTTGACTGGCGAGGCAGCACCTCCCCGAGCCGGGCCGTGGGCGCAAGTCTCCGCGCAGTACCACGACGGAGCGGACACCAAATGTCAAGGCCGAAGGATGGAATGCGACGACACCGCGACGACGATATAGGGAGGTGGGGAAAGATTTGGCGCGATTTTCCTCGATCACAGACGGAACAGCATGCTGCAGACCGATCCGCGCCTCGGCTTGGGGACGCCACGACCAGACAACGCCGGGCCGAGGCGGCGTCTCGACCTCGGCCACGCGATTTCCCGTCGTCTCATGAGACGACGCAGACCCCGCCTCCTAGCATCGGCAGGGTGTTTTCTGCGAAATTTACGTCGTGAGAGGGCTAAAGAGACCCGTTGTACATGCCCTAAGGCTGGCAACCAAACAACCTCATAGCCCATATTATATTCATGCTCAAAGATGGCCTAAACCTCTGAATTTCCCTTGGGCCATCGGCACCTTCCACCAGCAGGTTATAGTAGAGGTATAAACACAAACAGAACCAGCTTGAGCTTTCGTTAGCAAGATTAGTAGAGTTAGAACTTCTTTGCCGTGGAGCATATACGGAAACAAAGAAAGTCCCATTTGGAATATAAGAACAAACTCCATGCGGGACACTATAACGACCTATAGGACTACACATCAAAATGCATGATATTTCTCATTTCGCCATCCAACAAGCTAATAACATCCCATACAGAACCTGAATGATCAAGATCTTGTGCACCTGATACAAAAACCTTAACAGCACCTTGGACCTCTATCCAGCTACATCCAGGTGATTTCTTGATGCCATACTCAGCCATTGCTATTCGCACCCGCTCAGCCTGGTTCCACTGCCCAGTGACGCAGAATAAGTTGGACAGCATGACATAACCCACGTCTCCCGCAGACTTGGTCGCCACCATGTCTTTCACTGCCTTCCTTGCAACACTGAAATTCAGGTGTTCCAAAGAGCATGCGCTAAGCAGAGCTTCACGTATGTCGCTGTTATGTGTCTGAATCATTTCTGAATAACGATCCAGCATCTCCATAGCCTTTGTAATGTTCCCTGATCTCGCATACATGTCAAGAATGCAAGACATATGCTCTGGCTTTGGCTGAATTCCATGAACAGACACCATCGACTCGAAGAAGGTTTTCCCATGCTCCAGAAGACCAGAGTGGCTACAGGCTGTGAGTAAGCCTGTAAATGTCACCTCGTCGGGGCAGACCTCATGGGATTTCAAGCTGTCGTACACCACCAGTGCTTCGTTGGCCCATCCATTTATAGCAAATCCGAACAACATTGTGTTCCATGAGACCAGGTCCTTGTTGACAATGGCACTGAACACATTAGTACTACCCTCCAAATCCCCGCACTTGGCATACATGTCCATCAAGCTGTTGGCCACGTACAAGTAGGATGCAAACCCACTTTGGAACACCCTACAGTGGACCATCCTTCCACTTGCTAGAGATGCCACAGTAGCACAAGCATGCAGCACAGCCCCAAATGTGAAGTCATCCGGATGGATGTGTTGGTGTGCCAACATCTCGACAAATAGCATGAGTGCTTCATCAGCACAGCCGTTCCTTGCAAGTCCTCCGATCATTGCAGTCCATGAGATGACATTGGTCTCAGGTACACTTCTGAAGAGAGAAGTGGCTTTTTCTACACAGCCAAGCTTCATGTAAGCATCAATCAGTGAATTCCACGATACAATGGTCTGCACCTCCATGGACTCAAAAATCCGCACGGCATCATCAAGCAAACTGAATTTAGTATACAGGGAAATCAGGGAGTTACTGACCTCGGCCATTGCATTCCATCCACTCTGCACTACAATCTTGTGAATTGCAGAGCCAGCAGATGGGTTGGGCAGCTCGGTGCAAGCATCAACAAGAAGGCAGAGTGTTGCATCATCACAAGTCAGTCCAGCCATACGCATCTTGTTGAAGATAAGCAAGCACTGGTTAGCATTGCCGCTGCGTGAATATCCCATAAGCAATGTGTTCCAGGCGACATTATTTCTGTTGGGCATTTCATCAAACAGTTCCTGTGCGAGCCTCAAGTGGTCTGAGGCGGCATAGGCATGCAGGAGCGAGCACCAGGACAGCGCATTGAGCTCGCGCATCTCCCGGAAGGCGCGCGCGGCGTCTTCGGCGCGGGCGCACTTGGCGTACATGGCGATGAGCGCGTTGCCCACTGGGAGCAGCGCCCGCAGGCCGACTCGGAGGAGGCGGGCGTGCAGCTGCGCTCCGGAGGTGGGGCTTCGGAGTGCCGCGGCCGCGGAGAGCGCAGCGGTGAGCGAGAACGCGTCGGGCGCGGGCGCGCGGGAGAAGAGCGCGAGCGCGTCGCGCGGCTGCCCGGCGCGCGCGTAGGCGGTGAGCATGGCGTTCCAGGCCACGGCGTCACGCCGCGGCATGGCGTCGAACACGGCGAACGAGGAGGCCGCGTCGCCCGCGCGGCCGAGGGAAGCAATCCGGGAGGTGGCGGCGACGAGGCCGGCGAAGGGCCCGTCCCCCGCCGCCATGCTCTGCTACCCGTGCAGCCGCGCGACCAGCAGCATGTGGGCTTAGTAGGCTCATCAAAGTTTGAGTAGGCGAGAGAGAGAGTCTGGGGAGAAAGGTTAGCTGGTTTGCGTTGTGTGAGCTGCCGTTCAAAGTTTACGAAGTACTTCGCACAACAATTTCTTGAAACTTTATAGAAAACCATTTGACAGGAATATAGAATTTTAAAAAGACCAACTTTTTAAACAGGATCAAACTGACCCTCACCAAGTGATGTTACCTCGCAAGTATCAAACTGTCTGAAGGAATGGAGAGGTGCTTTCTGCGTTACTAGCAAGCACACTGAATCACTGCAAGAAAATGGTTCTTGCGTATTGCAATTCGAAAATCAAATAAAGAATCATACATACATTACATAATGTTAATACATCATGTTTCTTACAGTCATCACAGAATATATACACGGCATAATCCGTATACAAACAAATTGGTGGAAGAAGGCACAAATATTTCCAAATTGGTGGAAATGTGCAAAGATTTCCACCATCGTATATCTTTGCTCCATATAAGCTATTGTTGGGCACGACAAGATTGTTGAACATGCCACTTCACGCAGATATTAGGCCATCAGGAAATGTGAAGCCCTCCTCCCCATTTGGAGGTAAAAGATTACGGCACCCGTAGAAGACAGCCGAGTGGAACCCTGAAGGGTTGTCTATAAACACAAAATGTCCACCCTGCAGCACGTGACCACTGAAGTTTAGTCCTTGAACCAGTATTGTAAAATTGTAATTCGTGACTATGCAACATTGCCAGCATGAAAAGTTTACCTGTGGCACCCTGATTATTTCACAAGGAACTTTCATGTCCTTCCGTGCTTGCTGAGCCCCTTGGTAGTTCATCCAATCTTCCTGCCCATATATGAAGGTAGTTGGCACTTTCCAATCGGATGCGCTGTTGCAAGTTAAAGGACAATAAAACATCATGATACATCAAGAGACTCCATTTATTCCAAATGAGATGATGATTTAACATTCAGAATGTTTGTTTGGACAACTTGTTGCGTCTAGAATTAACCGCCCCTTGAAGTGATAATTTAGTTTCCACATGAAAAATATTTTACAGATATCATGCAGGCCTCCTGGATATTATTTTCAAAATGATGGAATTCCATGACTTCAAGAGACTAATTGTTGTATTGTGAACGATCATATCAGAGAACAGTTAACCAAGTAGATAAGTATAAGAAGCTAACCACTGCAGAAGAGGTTTCCTTGCAAATGCCCCAAAGGAAAATATATATTTCAAGCACAACTCTCCACTAGCTTTGGCAGCTAAGGTATGGTAAATATAATCTTCACACATGACAAAACAACAATAAGGTTCAGTTGCAAGTATAATAAGAAATAACACATTTACTCATTAGTTATTAACCAAAAAAATACCTGTCAACAATGTCGATTCTTGATCTGTTAGTATATCACCAGTTGAACGTGTACCAAACCTGGCACTGGTATATCTTTGTACTAGACCTGGACCCCAAGGACCCAATCCTCTGTTCGAGAAAACAGATAAATATAAGGACAAAAGTAGGAGCACCTACCAAAAAAAAAAGAAAAGAACATTGTTCTTTGTTTTTGCAACAAAGCCTCACATATTTTTCCCATTGGAGCAATCGGGTGTGCTATCAAAATATATTTCAAAAATAAATGGCTATCACATATCAAATAAATGGGTTACCAACTCTTTCAAAAATAAGCGTGCTATCAAAATATATTTCATAGTGTACCTAACGAATCTTATTTGATATTGTATATGTTTATGCATTTTTCTACTTGGCCAAAGCTATAAAACTATAAAAGTTTAACTTAGGACAAAGCTAAAACGACTTACAATTTGGAATGGAGGGCAAAACAACAAATAGAGTCACATGAAATTTTAGTTTGTAATACGTAATGCTTCAAAAAAAAAAAGAATAAGTGCAATAAGCTTAGATTACCTAATAACTCTTTGGGGAGTAAAATTGGACTCCCAAAGATGATTCACTAGCATGCCTTTCCATGTTGCTCGAAACTTGGTTAACCACTCAGAGCTATGCTCTGTTTCTGACGTGAAGCCAGCAGGACCAACCAAAATTAAGTGCTGAATGTGTTCAGGGTGCTGAAATATGACTGAGTTGTTAGTGATGATTGGCATAAATGTAGACACTGGATGTGGTAAATGTTTTAGGAACATACCTTTAGGGCATACTTTGCCGCAACATATCCTCCAAAGGAGTGACCAAGCAATATAAAATTACTGAGGTTCTTGGCCTTGCGCCATTCCTCAAAAGAATCTATGAACCATGCCTCAGTTTCTGTTTACAAACACACCCATAAGAGAGGCAAAAGATTTTAACTTGTTACTACACCACTCATAAGCATATGAGAAGAACTGAATTGATATATGAATTTGGTGGAACAAAACTATTTAGGCTTCATAAAATGGTTAAAACCACTAAGATTTCATAGAAAATAACGTATCAAAATACCATCAGAAAATTAGAGAACATGGCATGATAAATGATGCAGAAAGTTAAAAGCTAACGACAGTTGTGGGTTATCATTAACATGGTAAAAGAACTAACATCATATCTAAACTTGTGCAGGTAAAGAATGAAGTATCAACCTTCGGTACTTTTACATGTGAAGTCAGGTCTGCTTGAACCACCCCAGCTGCAAAAGGAATGAGAAACGTCAATGCTATAGTGCCATCAAATGCATCAGAGGAAGATAAAATGAGAATGGATGACGCTAAACCATATGCCATGACATTTTAAAATTTAAGGAACAGATCATTTATAATTGAAATAAAGTCTTTTTTCTTCTTGATTGCGATAAATCCACTACTAATTGAAGACCTATAGCGATCAACAACAAAGATTATTCTGTGCCATTTTTATCAAAACTTACCCAAGCTGATCAATGGCAATCACCCTAAAACGGCTTGCAAGGGCATCAAAGTTTCGAAAGAAGAACCCCTGTGAAGCTCCATAGCCATGGACCATAACCAGGGTGGGAGCGTTCTCCTTGGCATCAAATGTTACAGTATTAATGAACCTTGGTTCATCACTTGCTGACCTAAACCATCTTACTTTTGACCCAGGTGGAGCAGAGCCAATGTTGACATGTTCCTGGACATACCCAGTTCTGTAAAGACAAAATCAAAGGTGTGTCATGTACAACAGAATACAAAAGAGAGACATAATATCTAGAATGAAATGATAAAGGCCCAATCATCAACAAAGATAGAAGCCACAAATAAATACAACATTAAACATCCGTGCAATGCAACAATAATTAGCAGACAACAAAACATATCGACTAGCAGTGCCATAGGGGTAGTATGGTATTTTATAACTTCTTACACAAGTTGAAAATGAACCAATATATTATACTAAGACATGCTATGTAGTTCCTACCTCACTCTTTCAGACAGCTTGCAACATTTCAGTATAATCAGAAGCAACCGTGTGCTTACAATCAAACACTAGGTTCAGATGAATGACAGTACTTAAGCAACAATGTTATGTTTTTTTTAAGAAAACTTACAGGTATGATTTCGAGTCCCCAACATTTCAGTTAGTACAACTCATAAACTGTTTGCTCGATAACCTTTGCAGCTTTGCATTTAGCTAGCAGTCAATTGCAGCACTAATAGCAGATTGCAGTGAAACTGCAGCAATAGCCCAGCCAGACTTCATGACAGGGCAAAGGCACGCGATTTTCCTACAGTCCCAAAATCTTAGCTTCGTGATCAACATTCAAAGGGACCTTAATCTTAGCCGAGCTAGATCACAGATGAACCAACAACCAATCGCCAAATTAGCACCGGCGCAAATGCAGTGTATTTCCAAGCTAAGCGACCGTGCAGCTGTTCTGGTCAAGAGCCTGAAATTTGTACCAATTGACACGCAATTTGACAAAGAATACTCTTTGATAAATTGGAAGGCGAAAGTGACTAGCTGTTCCGGTAAATCGAACAAGTAAACTAGCTGTACTGCACCAGTGAAATGAAAAGCCTGAAGTATCAATCAATCCACATAGCATACTACTGATACTCGCTAAAAATGGAGAAGGGCGAGGTCGTACTTGACTATCGAGAGGAGTCGCTTCTCCGCGGCGATGGTGCGGTCCGTGGAGGTGGGGATCCACCGGAGCGCGCTCTGCCACACCCGCGCCCACCTCGACCCCGCTTGCGCCGGCGCCTCCGCCGTGGCCGCGGCCGCCGAGGCCCGTCTCATCTCCTCGGCTGCCATCCTGGTCGTCCTGGCGACGGCAGCGAGGCGCGTACGCGGCCAGACGTCACGCGCGTTTCCCCCACACTTCCTCCTCGACTGATGCTCTGCAGTCTGGAGACGTCGGGTCTGCTCGTGCTGAGTGCGACCCCGCCCGTGTCGTGCCGTAATCGGGTAGTTTTTGCCGTGTTTGTAAAGGGAAGAAAGGAAACAGAAACACGGGCGCTGGTTCGCCGTTCGCCTCCTCGAGCCGCCGACCGCTCCGCGCATCTGCAGCGGCAGCCTAATAGTCTACTGCTCCCTCCGTCAATGTAATTCTCGCTTTTCGAAAACTAAAGCTATTTGAACATTAACTGAAATTATATAAAAATATTAATATTTATGATATAAAATAAGTATAGTTAGATTAGTTATAGAATATATTTTTATAATATATTTATTTAGGGATATAAATATTAATATTATTTATTATAAATTTAGTTAAAGTGAGATAAGGTTGACCTGTATGCTTCCCCGGAGGGAGTACTACGTCAGGGCGTGCGTGGTGCGCCACATGCCGCGTGGGGTCCGGGATTGGAGTGCAAGCCAGGGGACGGGAGCAGCGACTCCGCGAGGCCGGTCGTCCCGTCGGGCCTTTGGCCTGCTCCGGCTTCTGGAAAGTCAGGTGGGTTTTGAGGTCAGAATCGGCGACGATGCCGATATCGGTAGAAACGTGCGAGTCACCTATGGTAGTGCCTCGGGTACGGG